TTTTAGGACCGTTACTTTTCGCAATTTATGTCAATGACTTACCCCATGAGCTTGAAGTACCGTCGCTTTTGTTTGCTGATGACCTCAAGCTTTGGAATATTGTGGATATCCCTGGGGAATCTGAGGCAATTCAGTCGTAAAACATTTGGTACCCTTCATCCAATTCATCAAAGCAGGAAGAAGACAGATTTCGATTGTTCTCCTCCGTCGCATACACAATACAAGCAGAAACAGACACAAATATATACATAGGAAAAATTGGCACACCAATTAAACTGTCAAAATCAAGACCAAGACAGTCTGATTGATCACCTCAAGGGTTTCTATGTACATAGCACTAAGCGCTAAGTAACAACGCTTCACTGATTGCCAACCTTATCGGGTTCCTGTTACGTATTAACCTCTTGAACGCATTATTCGGGTTCACATGATGACCAGTTATCAAGTGGTGTTTGGCGATAGATGATGACGGACTCCGATTCGTTCTGTAAGGCGTTCCATTTTGTTGCACCATCATTTGTTCGACCCACTCTTGAGACAATCAGTCAGATTGCCTTGGTCTTGATTTTGTCAGTTTAATTGGTGTGCCAATTCTTTCCCATGTATATATATGTCCGTGTTTCTGCTTGTATTGTGTATGCGAATGATGAGAACAATCAAAATGTTGACATATCGCAATTCAGAGTGCCTTGGATAAGCTCTAGGACTGATCAACCTTATGGTTGATGCCTATAAATCAGGCGAAATGTTCTGTCCTGCGCATTGGTGTCAATCTCCCCGCGCGCTATTAGTTGGTGGAGGTGTAATCCCTGTTCTCAGTCAGCAGCTTGATCTAGGCGTTGTCCACACCTCAATACTTCATTCTGGGGACAGTTGGAGGAAAACTGTTTGCAGAGTGTTGTGTATGATCTGGTTTATTCGCCGCTGCTTCGGTGTCCTAACGGCCGATATGTTTGTGAGGCTATTAGTTTTTGTGCGACCCCACTTAGAATACTGTATCCAGGCTTATCCACCATGTCTGGTAAGGGACAAAATGGAACTGGAGGGGTTTTGCGAGTGGGTACAAGGTTAGTGCAGTAATTACGGGTGCAAACGTATCCGAACGTTTGCTTAGCTTGGGTGTGTACTCAATGCACTACCGGAGAATTAGAGGAGACTTGATCCTCACTTACCGTATCCTAACGAGTAAGATCGGTCCAGGCTTGTCCTGGCTATTTACTCCCACCCAGCTGTCTAGTCTCCAAGGTCACCCGTTGAAGCTGCACAAACTGCGTTCTGACCGGGTGAGAACGGAAACTTGCTTGTCGCACCGGGTTATTGAACGTTGAAACTAGCTTCTGCTGCACCTCATTATGGAATCTACGACTGAGGGTTTCGAGGGTCTGTTAAATGCACTTGGGTGATGATTCCGAATTTTCCTCTTCTCTTAACCGACTTGTATCTTCAGCTTTCTGTTCGTTTTTTCTAGTTCTCATTATTTTTTGCTTACCCTTCACCCTTCACATAAACCGGTCTGGCAGGGACTGCTGGGCAGGAAATGTGGGCAGTAATTGGTTGGACAGTGTGATGCAGTCTTTGTTTCAGGCATTACAGTATCTCAAGCTGACCTATCAATTCTCGGTTCAAAGATACGCCAAAGAAGGAACCTTCACAAGATTATCTTATCGTTCCAGTCACAAATGAACTTGAGCAGTTACCTATCCTCTCGAAATCTGAATACGATTTGCTAGAAAGGGTTCAGAGGCGTGGCTCGAAGTCTGTCATGGAGCGTCGAGATTTCGCTTACCCTCTTTGTCTCTGAAAGCTGAACCTTTTCCCCGCGGATCATCGTCGGTGTTGTGCATATCTTATTTACACCCGACGGATCCGAAGATGAGAATTTGTGAGTGAGGTACATAAACAACTAGTAACGCTAGCGTACAACCTGACCTCTCGCTAGCGGTTAGGTTAAAGTCAAAGGAAGCTATCAGGGTCCTGAAAGCCCAGCGGGCATTTGGTGAGCAGGGTCTCCGGTTATGGGTTTTCAGGTTGCCAGCCGCAGGTCATTTTCACCCTGCCAGAATGTACCCTAGTTAAACACGATCCAGGGCTGGCCGTGCCGAAGTTATTCAAGTAGTACTTAGCAACGTATGTAGCCTGAGGAACAAGATATGCGAGATGGGTCTGCCCGTGAACAAATCTCGTTCAGATATACTTGCCTTCACTGTAACGTTGTCGTCTGAGGCAGTCATAGATGGCGGAATATATCTTCCTGGCCAGCACTGTTTCGCGCTGACCGCTCCATTGGCCGTCAAGGCGTGGTGTAGCTTTTTTGTATATTATCGCTTGGACGTGTTGACTGGCGTCTTTCAGTCTCTCGAGGAATCTTTTTTGATGCTCTCGCAGTTGTGCTTAACGCTTTCTTGGTTCAGTTTTCGGTCGTGTTGGTGTATAGCAACCCTATGAGCACTTCCAAGGGGATCACTCAGTTTATACGCTGGGCGATCTCAATCTCCCAGTGGTTTGCTGGGCTGATCTGCCTTGCAATGTCAGCCGTTGGCCGAGTGGTCTGCGCTCCTGGTTTGCAACCATATGGTCATCAATTCGAATCCGCGTAAGAGTGGGCGTCCTCGCGGTATACTCAGCCCGCGCGCGACTGGTGGCGGTCGCGTGGCAGCGAAGCGTCGTTACAGCTTACAGCTGGCGGTTTATTTTACTAATGCCATCCTTGTTCAGTACCTTACGAATTGCTTCGGAGGTTCCTTCCTTATACGGAATTTTCGCTGTCCTTACCCATTTCGTTCTGGCACCTACCTGTGGGTTCAATACTTTATGTAACTGGCGTTTCACCAAATGCCGTCGATACCCACTCTAAATGTTTGTTCATCGCCTTTTTCCATGTGATCCTTCTATCCTCTTCCTATGTGCACAGGGCATATGCTCGGTTAAACGGCGACGAGGCCCTCCCTGCGTAAATGTTTTTCGGGTGATCTGAATGTACTAGATTATCCCATTGGTATCTGTTGGTTTACGATAGATTGTTGTTTTCAAACTTCCTCCATTTCCATGAACTAGGCCGTCAAAGAACGGCATCGTGCCGTTGCATGACTCCAACTCTATTATAAACTTTATTCTTAGGGTAATATAATTTAACAGGTTAAACAAGTCATCCTTCCTATGCTTTTCATTATCATAAAAAATGTCATCCGCTTAGTGCCACCAAACTGTCGGTGAGTTATCGGAGTTCACTTACACCTCGAAGTCATCCATACACAAACTCACAAATACCAGGTATTGTGGTGATCTCACGGCAAGACCTTATTCTTGGGCGAACAGTTGACTGGAGAACGAAATAGAACATGCTAAGGCACACTGCCAGTAGTTGATCAACTGTCAGCTTTGTGCTCATACCCAGTGTGATGCCCTCTTGTAGCGTTTTACTAACCCCCAACACTCCTTGGGTACATTATTAAAATGCAATTCACCTGACCTAACAAAGCTTTTGCACCGAAAGCGAACCACTGCTAAATAAATCCTCCGCAGAGGACCGAAGAATGCGCACCAATGATGAGCCCCAATAAGGCGAAACTGCCGTCTGATGCTTTTCCGGATAGCTAGTTGACTTACCTGAATTGTCGGCTGATTGCGACGAACAAAAATCCAACACCCATTTGTTCGCAAACTTTTTTGAAATCATGGTCCTGACGTAGATATAAAGCTGCTGCTCGAACGCGAGCCAAATTCCTCCCGAGGTCTAGGTAGATTGCATCCCGTATTCCTCAAGACGATAGTTGCGTATATCGTAAGTCCCATCTGCCAAGTATTTCCGCCCTCCGTTCAGGTCAGCCTTCTACCCCTAGACTGACACCCGGATGCCCAAATACAAGGGGGAAACTTTCAAGACCTTGCGAACTAACAGCCAATATGCCTCATAACAATCGTATGCCAGGCAAGGAGACAAATCTTCCAGCTCCTTCTTCAGCTAAACTGGGAAAGATTGAATGTTGTCTCTCAGCATAGCTTCCGGATAGCACCCTTTTGCGATATCATCTTTCTGGTCGCTGGTATAACGAACAGAAGCTGTACATGCAAAAAGCGAAGACGGAGTCTTCATTGACTTTAGCAAATTTTTCGATAAATTTCCACATGAATGGCTGCCGCTCAAACTTCAGGAAAGTGATGTCACATGGCATGCACTATCTTGGATGACCGGCTTTCTACGAGACCACTCCATGCGCGCGGGAGTAAACAAATCCTTATCCGTTTTTGTCCTCGTGACTATTGGAATTCCTCTAGGATCCGTACTTGGACTGTTCAAGCTATATCACTTGCTTCCCGGTTACACTTCAACCGACTTGTTCTACGCTTATGAATCCAAGCTTTGATCAACGGTATCCAGCCCTGAAAATGCGAACAGCCTGCAAGGGCTATGGACCAGCTTTACGACTGGTCTAGCCACTAACGATTATCAGTAAACCGTGATAAATGCGCTGTTCTTCCGATCGGTGATACGCTTCCCTATTATGCATTCCATGATGGTGGATTTCTCATGGGCAATGTCACTAAAGAGAAAGATTTCGGTTTTATAACATTAGAACTCAGGCATACTGACGAAGATCGTTACTTCAAAAAGTGCTAAGTGACTTAGGAAGTCCATACACCCGTATGGAACAGCCTGCTGGAGGGAATAGTTGATGCATTATCAGAAAAAACACTTCCAACTGCTTTGAGCTAAGCACTCGATGTGGACACTGGAATCCTGCTTCCATTCCAACTGCCACGGGCTCTTGTTGAACGTCATCACGCAATAAGTCAACAATTGGAATCTGACAAGGCCCCTCGCAGTACTCTTTACAACTTAATAAACCAAATAATCTATTTGGGCATATGTGACAAGGGTATCTAGCCGCTCGTTAGATGTTACTGAGACACATCTTCTATCCCACTCCGTCTCTTACCAGGTGGTTGTAATAAAACTTTGTAAACCCCTGTGAAATTTTTGTTCTGCTTTTCATCCCCCAGATCTATTAGTACCTTCACACGCATTGGGTGTGGCAACTCCTTGAGTCCTCAGCAGGACGCAAACAACATTTTGGTCTATCTCTTGTTCCGGTTGCATTTTCACCTCCTGTGGCCAGCGATATATTTATACCGTGCATACCTCGCGCACAATGGATGTCGCGCGACTCATACTTCAGAGGCTCCCTGAGTCTGATGCTATTTCATCTGTCATACTCTCGGAACAATTGCAGCTAGAGCACCAAATTGTCGTTGGAGGCATCAAATGCTTGGAGAGTTTTGGGGAGGTGCGTCATATATATGTTAGAACATTTTCCCCAGATTATCTCTTGCGTTCAAGTAACCGAGTCTACGCACGAATTAACTGAGGAAGGTAACGAGATTGTGGCAAATGGAAGTCACGAGTTTCGTGTCTTCCTATCCGTTCCTGTTGAGGGAATCTTACAGTCTGATTTGATGGTACGCCCTGATTCTTATAATCACAATTCCACTAGGACAAATTTCCATATGCCAAAATAGGGTTAAGTAAAGCGCTTGCTTCCAAATGGCTGAAGATTGTGAAGGATAATAATAATGCCTCACGTGTTGTTCGAATGGTTTGACATCTCTTTGGTGATTAGCTTTTCACAGACCGATAATGTGGACGATACTGTGCAACAACTTTTACTATCCTTTTCTTCCGGGAAGCATTCTTTTTCGGATCAAGAAAAAAACGAGCTGAAGAAACGGAAGCTTATAGTGGATGTGTAAGGTTGTTTTCATATCGCTTGTCATCAGTTAGGAAACGCACTAGCTATCTGGTCTCCCGGGGTCCCTGTTTCTCGTTGGACATTGGGAAGGAGGCCACGGACATTACTCAGGAAATGCTCAGCAGGTTAGTTTTTCCATTTCTTCCTTTTTGTTGCATTAGTATACCCACTCACTGGTTTTTACAGCGATTAATCCGGAGTCTATTGTCCTTTTTATCATCAATACTTAAAGCTACAGTTGGACTGGCTATAGTTGAGACTTGTTTGTTTCGACAGTACGACTACTACCAAGCAGGTGCTAATCCTTCGTAGTTAGGAAGTTCACCAAACGAGTGACTACTTTTTCCTGGTAATGTGAAATCTGCGTTGAGATGACAAGTGCCACGCCGCTAAGGCGTGGCCTCCTCCACTGCAAATATTCTAAGCGTCACAAACGAACAATGGATTTATTATTTGCATTTCATCGACCGGTGTGTTTCACTTCCGTATACTTTATCGCACATTTTTGACAATTGTTTTTTTTTCCTGAGCTGCATATCGCAACAGTATGCTGACCGTCCTACAGCTACCGTATGACCACCTTGCGGCCAATAGACGAAACAATGTTCTGCGCACCGGTTGACTTCATCGTCATAAGCTACAGATGAAGCACTTCAAAACGAGAATTACGCCACAGAAGCTGAGGTGTTGTCCACCTCTAGCTATCGTGCATAATGTATGTATGCATATCACGAGAATACCTATTGGTCAAGGTTTTTTAGGCTTACGATTTGCTTGCTTATCTCCAGGTGGTGCCTACTAAGTGGTTCAGAGTTATCCACTCCGGGTGAACAGTTTCACCACGGTTTTCATGGACTCGACGAGTTTTTTGAGTGACAAGCATTTGTGAGATATCCACAGTCTACTAACGGGTGCGATTGGCCACCGGCTAACGTCACTGACATCTTATTCTTCTCCATGAGGCATTTTATTCCATCAGTTGTCTTGTATTCCTAAGACTAGGGCTTTTCGATCTGAGGCGCCTTCAAGTCTCTGATCATCACTGTCTGCGGAGCATTGCTGACTCCGCGTGGCACCAGTGTGTCCGCAACCAAGATGTGCGTAGGGGAGTACTAGACAGTGACAACTAAGGTAGTCCCTTAACACAACAGGTAGCACTGAATAAGTTGCGTTGGCTTGGTCGCGTACTACGTATGGCCAGTCACCGCTTACCTGGGAGGGCCTTGTTTTGTCTGCCAGATGTAGGGTGGCGCAAAGCTCGAGGTGGACAGCGGGAAATGAAGTCACTGACGATCCAGCTGGGTGCCGTCGGTCCGTCTCGCTGGAGTCCACTTGACTTTGGTGGTTAGGGAGAGATTGGTGGCCGTCTTTCTTTATAAACCTATCCATGGGAGACAACAGGTCTGCGGGTTATAAGTTGACAGCTCAATTGGCGTAGACACGTGTGCCACGCATTTTCTCTGACAACGGGAAGGCACCTTCCGGGTTTCAATGGTTTGATACCGCCCGCCTCAAGCCGGGCAGCCCCTGATCAAATTGGTGCAAACCCGCCAGCTTCCACCTGCGCCTGGCAGTGGTCGCAGGTGCGTAACATAATATGCTCGTAGAACACAAGCGCATTATTCTTAATCTTCAAAGGCTGTCTGTGACAGGCTTGAAGCAGATCCCAATGGGTCTCTGCATTCACACTCCCGAGCTGAACTTGCTCTCCACTGCCTTGTGGGTCAGGCTGTAACTCAGCGGCTCCGGACGGAATCCCTCAAGTGACCCTTCATGTACCCCACTGCCTTGTGGGTCAGAATCTTTCCTCAAACAATTTCCAGATGCTCTGACCATCATCTCGCCTTCGGTGACTGAGCTATTCAACAGCTCGCTGTCCGCTGGTTCATTGCAGAGCGATTGGAAGTGCTCAGTGGTGAAACCGATTCCAAAAGGCGGCGATCCGAACAAGGTGGACAACTACCGGCCATATACCTAATTTCTGTTTTGGCTAAGACACTCGAGAAGATTGTGAAACGTGGTCTTCTGCAGCATCTCGAGTCGAAAAGCATCTTGACACCCGCGCAGCACGATTTCATAAAGGTCGGTTGTGCATCACAAACCTGCTGCTCTCGAGACACGAATGGTTGCAAGCGCTAAACCAAGGGAAGTCGGTTGACGTTATTTACATTGACTTCAGTAAAGCGTTTGATAAAGTGAACCATGAAATCCTTCTTCGGAAGCTAAAGATGTGCGGTGTGGGTGCCTCACTGCACCAATGGATCAGTGACTTCCTTATTGGTGGGACGTGAAGGGTGCAGGTGGACAACCACTTGACTGGGTGGTATCCCTCGACCAGTGGCGTACCGCAGGGCACACTCCTTGGGCCCATTTTGTTCCTGATTCACATCAACAAGTTGCCTCAACCTCTCAGTTCATCTTGCGCGTTTTTTGCAGATGACCTTAAGGTATGGAGGGTAATTGTGGCGCCCGACGACTGCGGCTTGCTTCAGCGTGACCTGGACCGCCTCTTCATGTGGTCAGCAAAGGTCAACCTTCCGATCAACCCGGTCAAGTCGGTATTCATGAGCCTGGGCAAGGGTAGTAATGGCCGAGCCAATGGCCGGCCAATAGTTACACTCATCGCCATCTGTGAAAGACCTTGGCGTACTCTCATGCTGCGATTTAAAATCCGTTGAAAACACGAGCAGGCTTTACCAAAACGGACTGCGCATGTTCTGGGTGCTCAAACCCAGCTTCTGCGCTTGGTCGGAAAAGGTTGCCACCCGCCTCTTCTCTTCTGTCATCAGACCAATGCTAGAGTACAGCTCACCCGCCTTCTGTCCGCTCACTTGGAGCGAGGTGCAAAGGATTGAACGAGTACAGCATATTGCTACAAGTCTGATCCCCGGTTTACGAAGTGTGCCATATGAAGACTGGTGCAAGAGACTAGGGTTGTACATCCTGTCTTATTGTCGAATGCGGGTTGACCTCATCTTGACTCACCGGATATTACATCTGCGTGATTACCCCATCTTGAGGCCGCTGCTTCATCTGCGCACACCAAGGAGCACACGAGGACACCTGTACTAGCTTGTCGTACCGGATTTGAAGCGGGTCACTCACCAGCTCTGCTTCGTGATGAGGGTGGTGAATATTTGGAACAACCTGGCTGCAGACATAGTCGAAGCAAACTCGGTGTCGGAGTTCAAGGAACTCCTGGACTCGCACTTTGTCGATTTGAGATTTCGAGAATAATCACCATCATAATAGGTTGCTTTGCTTGAAAATTATTAGATGCAGCTACACAGAGGCATCTCTACTTGCTGACTATTCTCATTATTCAGTATTCAGCAGGATAATCAACGGTGCACTATCTCCTGCATCGATCAGGGTTTCTAGGGGTTTAGATGCTACTGCTCGAGCCTTCCCGTCTTCTTATTCCTCCTCGACGCTTTTTCACCCTTATCGTCCTGTTACAATTTCACATTTATCCCCCGTTTTTAACCCCAATTCTTCTCCCTCCCCCACTTCGATTTGATAGGCGTTTGTCTTCTAGTCTTAACTCATGCAAACGCGGAACATCACTTTTGCCATATCGACAAGCCCATGTCCAATCAAGCTGTCCACCCCAGTTCATCGGCTTCCATTTGGAGCCCCCGATCCTCCCTCACATTGGCATGCCTCGACGTACGCACATTGTTACAGATCGGTCAACGGGCAACACTTACCCGAACATTAGAACCCTCTCGTTCGATATCTTCTGCTTCTCGGAAACCGGTTTACAATTCCCGAGCACTGTTCTCACTGCGATCCCCCTTCAGGTGACACTAGCAGTGCTTTCTCATTGCGCCTATTTGGAGACGATGCAGCTTCGACAACCGGTCAAGCCGGTGTTGGTGTTGTCCTTAATCCCCTGGTTGAAGCTGCTCTGGTTGATTGGATCCCAATCAGTAGCCGGATGTGTGCGATCCGACTGGCTGGCTCGTCCAAAGCTTCGAAGCCGCGCGGGCTAATAAGTGTTTGTTTGTCATTGCTGCCTATGCCCTCACAAGCTGTAGCGATGACTCGGTGAAACACGACTTCTGCGGTCAATTGAATAAGCCCCTTCGTCACAGAAGAAGCACGGACACTGTTGTGCTAGCGAGGGATCTGAACGCACAAGTTGGAAACTTGTCCACAGTTGAACGGCATCTGGGCGCTCAACGCGGTGTAGGCTCCCGTAATGATAACAGTGAGTGGTTGTTTCATTTGTGTGAACATGCCCGCTTATTTCTTGCGAGCACTAACTTTCGACACAGCACCCGCCGGAAGGTGACATGACACCCATCAGCGTCGAACCAGCCATGGACGCAAATCGATCACATTGCAATCAGTTACCGCTGGAGAGGCTGCGTCCAGAACTGTCGCTTGATTTGCAGCACGTGTGTGAACACCGACCATGCACTTGTGTTTGTTGACATGCGGGTGTATTTTGGCGGTCGCCATCGACAACCCTGTGAGCGCAAACTGGCGAAGCCAGCTGTTCTGAATGCGTATCGAGCTACGCTGGCGTTCGCGTTGAGCAGGCGCTCACTGAATAAAGTTGAAGGTCACTGGTCGCATGTTTACCAGACCTTACTAGAAACAGATAAGTCATCATGTGGTAAATCCACTAGCCAAAATAGACATTGGGTCTCTTCACGGCCTCTGGAACTTATCGATGCTCGCCGGCACATTTCGGCTGGAAGCGAGCACAACGAGACTCGCAAAGACATCAGGGAAAAGCTCCGCGCTAGCCTAAAGAGAGACCGCGAATCCTGGTGGTTTCATCGTGCGTCAGAGCTGACTTTGGTAACCATCGGAAGTTGCTTCGTCTGATATGGGGAACGGGCAGCAGACCTGGTGTTAGTGAAACAATTTCTGACGAGTGGACAGCCTATCCACAACTTGTCAAAACGTTTGCAGCATTGGGTTGAGCATTTTGAAAAGCAATTTAATCGGCCGGAATTGTTAGCTTTCTCACCGACCGGTGATCGCCCTGCTCCCTGGGCTGTCCCTTTGGATCCGCCCTCTCGCTCAGAAGTCAAACGTGAGATCGCACTGTTGAAGTTGAACAAAGCCACGGGACCAGATGATCATCATCCAGCCCTCTTCAAATTCGGGGGCACTGCTCTTGTTGATAATTAACAAGAATTACTAGTGAAACTGTGGGAGCAAGAAACTGTCCCAACCGACTGGATCCGCTCCGTTATTGTCTCGATTTTCAAAAGAGGCTCGCTTTCAGAATGCGGTAACCATAGAGGAATCACTTTGATCCCCATCGCCTCCAAATTACTCGCCTTTGTAATCTTTCACAGGCTGACTGGCGCTCGTGAAAGCCAGCTTCGTAAGGAACAGGTTTGCCTTCGTCGTGATCGCTCATACATCGACCACATAATCCCATTACGTCAGTTGTTGGAGCACCGTCACATAAACTGGCGGCCCGCCGTTATCGTGTTCCTCGATATCAAAACCGCCTTTGATTCGGTTGATCGATGTGCCCCTTGGGACTGTCTACTCAGGAATGGTGTGCCCGAGAAATATGTAAATATTATCCGAGCATTATAAGCGCGTAGCACGGGCAAAGTGAGGGCTTACGGCAGGGTGTCGCCACCCTTCAATATCTCCAGCGGTGTGGGACAAGGATGTCCGTTATCACCTTTCCTCTTCAACTTCGCTATTGACGAAGTCATGGAGATTGCATTTACAGTACATGACTGGAAGGTGTGGAGCTACTCCCAGGAGAACGACTTCTTGACTTGGAGTATGCAGACGATATTGCCCTCATTTGTGACAGCTCCCAGACATGGCAGGCTGCATTGGATAGATTAGCACTGGCTGTCAGCCTCTTCGGGCTTTGATTTGCACCATCGAAATACAAAGCGTTCCTCCAAGATTGGCAGGGATCGCCTCCTGCGCTGACCCTTGGTGGGGATCAGCTAGAAGTCGTTCGGAAATTCAACTATTTAGGAAGTTGTATCAGCGCCTTTGGGATCGAAGATGAGATCACGAACCGTATAGCAAGCTCGAGGTGCTTTTGCTAATCTTCGCCACTGGCTACTGATTGGGATGCAGTCAACCAGAGCAGCTTCAGTCAGGGGACTCAGTGCAATGCCAACACTAGCTTGGCCGGTTGTCGAAGCTGCATCGTCACCGGATAGGCGCAATCGGAAAATACTTTTGGTGGCACCTGAAGGGGATCGCAGAGTGAGCACAGAGCTCGAGTCTGGTAATCAAGTTTCCGAGAAGCAGCAGATATCGATGAAGAGGGTCTCTAAAGTGCAGGTAAGTGCTGCCTGTTGACGGATCTGTAGCAGTGTGCGTACATTGAGGCTTACCAATCTGAAGGAGGATCGTGGGCTCCAAATGGAAGCCGATGAACTGGGGTAGACCACTTGATTAGACATGGGATTGTCGACAGGACAGGAGTGACGCTTCGCGTTTGCATGTGAGTTGAAACTAGAAGATAAATGCCTATCAAAGCAAGGTGGGGGAGGGCCATGAATGGGGGGATAAAAGTGGAGTTGGAACGGAACTATAAGGGTGACAAAGCATAGGAAAGAAAACAAGAAGATGGAAAGGCTTGAGCAGTGGCATCCAAACTCCCATCCACCCTGCTCGATGCAGCAGATAGGGCGCCGGTTATTGTCCTCTGGCGGGAGAGCCTATGGTGCGCTGAGGCTGGTGGTGGCTAGATCCTGACAGATGGTCTGCCCACTGCTGCTACTGTTGTGCCATTGGCTCATGTCCTGGACGCCTCCTCGTGGCGATCGCTGGGTGGAAGTTGGGTTACGCCCTTCTCCCTGCTAAGATCCAGGACACCAATCCGCATGAGTCAGTGAACTGACCATGTGCTAGACCCGCTGCTTTTCGGGTGTACATTTAATCAAAGGCTTTGACTGAGGACCCGAGTCTTTTTTCTCTCAGGTGTGGGCACCCTACCAGTATCCTAGTCCATTCTCTTTGGAAGTTAGAAATTGGTCGATGGCCCTCTTCCCGTAAAACCTAGCCATGGGAGACAACAGATCTACGGGTTATAAACTCGCAGCTCAATTGGCGTAAAGCACGAGCGACACGCATTGTCTCTGACGGTTGGAGGGCACCTCTGGGTGTTCACTGGTTTTCTACTGCCCGCCTCAAGCCAAGCAGCCCCTGGTCAAATTGGTGCAAACCCGCCTGCGTCTGGCCGTGGTCGCAGGGGTATCTTACTACGGTCTCAAAACACATATGAATCGTTCCAGTATCTCAAAGGCTGCGTGTGATGGCCGTCAAGCAGATCCCAATCTGTCTCTGCAATCACATTACCGAGCTGGATCTGCTTCCCACTGCCTTGTGGGTCAGGCTATTGAGCCAAAGCTCCGGGTTGAGTCCCTCAAGCAAACCTCCGAAGCAGAACCACCACCTCACATGCGATTGCCCACCAATGCAATGGTATGCCTGCGCGCAAAGCACTCAGCATCGGGTGCTGGAACGTGCACACACTACTGGATCGGAACTCCAGCGAGCGCCCGGAGCGACGCACTGCACTCGTCGCGATGGAACTGGCGCGCTACCACATCGATATTGCGGCGCTTAGCGTTGAGCAACGTAAGTTGCATGAAGCAGGTGCTGGCTACACATTCTACTGGGTGGGCAACGCCGGCTCAGCACCATGGGGTCGGATTTGCAATATCCGATCACCTCCATGGCCAGCTGGCGGGTGAGCCAACAGGCATCAGCGCGCGACTGATGACTGTTCGCCTGCGACTCGGAAGAGGTAAGTTGGCCACCTTTATAAGCACGTACGGTCCGACCATGTGTTATCCTAATGACATGCATGGTCAATTCTACACTCAGCTATCCTCCATGATACGGTCTGTGCTGAGGAGCGACCGACTATTTCTGCTGGGTGATTTCAACGCGCGTGTTGGGCGTGACGCATCGGTGTGGACAGATGTCATCGGTCCGCATGGCATTGGTTCACCGAATACGAACGGTGACAGGCTACTCTCACTGTGTGCCACTCACGGCCTGACGATCACAAACACTCGGTTTGCACTGAGTGCGAGTGATGTAGCAACTTGGACGCACCCACGGAGTGGTCACGCTCACTTGCTCGACTATGTCATTCTACGTCAGCATGATATGCGTGAAGTGCGCATGTCACGTTTACTGCATGGAGCTGAATGTGACACTGATAATAAATTGGTGCGGACCAAACTGTACATATATTTTCGTAAATCTATGTATTGCACTCCCGCCGTGAATCGGTGTAAATTTAACATTCTCTCCCTCGGTACTGTGGAGAAAGGTATTGAGCTGGAGAAGGCGATGGCTGCACGCCTGTGTGATGTGGAATGCATAGCCACAGTGGGCGACCTGTGGCACCACATTCGCGACCAGGTGACAGCTGCTGCCGAGGAGACCATCGGGTGCACAAACTGTAAGCTTCTTGATTGGTATGATGAGAACAATGCGACGATTGGGGCATTGGTGTCGTAGAAGAATGCAGCACTTGCTACACATGTGGCAGACCCCAGAGACTTGGGGAAGAAGTTAATTTCGCAAACTTCGATATCGAGCGCCTGGTGCTGTAGCACATGCGGTCCCGAGTGCTTGAGTCAGACAGGCCTAGTGAGCCATGAGCGAGGCCACTCGGGACCACCACCGAAGCGATGACGGGTCCTGCAGAGAACGTAGGCAGAACCGGCGCAGCGTTTGTAGGTACGCTGCATTCGATTTACTAACCGCGTGCTTACATGCTAAGTCTCTTTATTTCAGGTGGTGGGTTTTCAATTTTGTCCTAATGCTTATCTTTCTCATATAAATGTCTGCCAGTACTCTCTTCTATAAACGTGCACACGTCGCTTAAGCCAATTGTAGTTAATTTCGATAACATTTTCGTGTTTGTGGCATTTCCGTAAATATACTTTCTGACCTCTTGAACTTATTCCGGATTTGTTCGTAATCATTTTTTATACGCTCATTTAGTGAATAGTTATGTCTACTTATCCGTGTGCATTATCCCATTTGTTTTATTTCATCTTGTCGTTTCAAGTTATTGGCAGTTTCTTGATATCCCCGGTGTGGCTGCGCTTTCTGTGCATGTTGACAAGGTGACTACCTGTTTATTACCCACTACCTCGTCCATACTGGCTCTAGGAGACAGTTGGTCGTTGCTGGAGAGGAAGGGGTGCACGGTCCTTGTGGTCGTGTTAGGATCAAAGAGTGGTTCCATGCACTCAGTGTTTAACAGACTACGGTCCAACCACCGTTCCGTGTGCGATTGATTCCCAACTACAGCGTGCTTGTGTTTGCCTGTGAAGGAGTGTGAGCCGGCTCCGTTGATAAAATGTGGCTCCCATCCAAATGCCTCTCGGTCTTATTCCTTCGGGTGTACACTGGATATGGGGTTTGTGGATGGAACTGTGGGTGGTGCAGCGCAAGTCACCCATGGTCCGTCTGTAGGCGCAGGCGTCCTGTGGCTGGCCACAGTGACAGGCAAATCCGGAACCGGATGCCGCCAACCATATTATCCTCTACGGTGGCCAGAGCAACAGGAAACTGTTTGAAAAAGAAATTCATGCTACTACGAGTCGAAATTATCCGACAATTTGTTGAATCCTTCTTTAATCTCCGTTTATCGCCTTATTCACTTGCCTTCGTCATACAACTTTTGCCGATGTTATCTATGCTAACATGTATGGTGAAACGTGCCGTACAAGATTGGGGAAGCGTAAACTTCAGCGTCTCCGACACCAACATTTCGTTTTATCATTGTAACTGGCCACTGTCTTATTCTCATTCGGAACCTAAATTGTTACAATAGGTAATGTGCGAGTCAGCGACTGACAGAGTCCAAGTATGATCTGTGTCCAAATCATTGTTAGTAGCTCATAAAAATGACGATTTAACCTCGTCAGATCAACGCGGACTCAGCTGTGATTTAACCCGAAGCAGGCCCGTCGCTTACAATTTAACTGTACTTATATCGTACTTGAATACTATTTTATATGCTATCATTTTCAGTGGGTCATGGGAGACGGCGAAATTCAAGGCCTACAACTTTGATGCTCTCGGTGCCGCCTTGCCTCGTGGTCACCTCCACCCGTTACTCAGGGTGCGCTCGGAATTCTGTAAGATACTAACCTCCATGGGGTAAGTTGCTTGGTTAAGGTTATCGTTCAACTCCACACGCAACAGTTGACTGTGATCTGTTTGAGCATCGTTTAGACAAGTTTCATTCTCTCTTCTTTCGGCCAACTTTACTGCGAACGATGTTTGTGACCGTACCATGATATGCCCTCGGTTATTCGACAACACTGCGTTTCAGAGTTGAATGTGCACAAAACAAGATGAGTTCGGCGTTCTGCTTAGCTGCACCTCTAGAGGACTGGGTCAGATTTCAGTAGATCAGTGTTCTTCAAAATGTTTCCGACTACTGGTAGCTCGGGTTGATGATTCAATTGTTCATTTGTTCTCCGAGCTTGGCGGGGTTTTTTTGGCAATCGTTTCATCACCATGCAAGGTGGCATCCTCAGTGCAGTGAGATGCGGCATGCAATCTTACTGATCAGTGTTCTCATCGACAGAGCTGCTGATTGTATTAGACGATTGAATAAGTCGGATAATCCTGACAAACTTATTCCGGCTTTCTAGAACTCGAGAGGCATCCTCTGTTAATCCTTACGATACTCATGGAATTACGGTTTGGAGACTGTAGCATTAGTGGCAGTCTCTTCACCACATTATTCGACAGACTGTATCATCTGGATCAGCGGCAGTGTTTACCTCATTTATGATTGCCACTGCGGTATATCATATGCGATGATGCTTTTTCTAGTGGCTCGGGGAATTCTCGCATCAGATACGAATGATGAACAGTTGCTCCATTCTCATAGGTATCAACTGCAACGGTGGACACTGGATTGGTGGAAAACTGTCATGTTATCATTAGCTGTGGTCGCTGCATATTTCAAGAAGACGCTCACCATTGTTAACACTATGTCGTTGCACCTCGAATTGGACTCTGAAGGAGTGTTTTGACTCCAACCCACAATGACTTGAGCCTGAACGCCACTGGCAGCGGCCGCCGTATTCGTTCTTCCGACCATTCGAAACGATGGGAAGACGCCTGGTATTTCGCTGCGGATTTGTGCCTCCGTGTCATCTCCCGCATATGTGGCTACTCTGATGTGTACTTTCATCAAAGGCGAGACAACTATGGCCATCGCCATTAGAATTGGAGCTAAAGACGAACTTTTGTCAGGTTATTCCTAAAGGTTTATCATCTCTGATTACATGTAGTGCAAACAAGTCTAGGAGGGTTTTCATCGAACAAGTCTTCGATACTCTGTCACAGAAGGATCCATCACTCTTACTACTGGTGCCTTTATCCCAACCGTATGCTCAGAGATTTTGAAATTCGATCCCTTAGCATCTTCAACTTCTCCCAGCACATACTACATCAACTAGCGATAGGGAAACAGCTAACAAGCTACATCACTAGGCTATTTTCATTATGGTAGCAAGTAGGAGCCACAATTAAAGTTCGCACAATAATCTGCCTCGACGTGGAATCGAACTCCGGACCCGCAGATTACCGGTCCGCTGCTCTACCACTGAGCTACCGAGGGCTGACGATCATGTGCGCAATTTAATACATGACTTCTACTAGGTTCGCGACGTATTGCCAATGAGCTCACAGTATCTGTCCTGGTATTGCAGATTTTCATTATCCTAAACACGGCTTGTATTATTCAAACTCCCAGTACTACCCACGCTAGCGTACTGAACCACCATACACAGCCACCTACGTAAAATTGTTTTGGAAAGCGTCCAGTGCTAATTTTACTAAATGTTCATGGGGTGCTCATCAACGCGAGGAACGATGTTCTTACCTCAACCTTGACCCACTCTAGTTTCGACCACTGAACGGTAACCTCACTCTTCTTCACAGTATATCTGCCAGTCCAAACAGTTCAGGTGTCGTTTCACAGGATGGCTTGACCTATCCCACTTGTAATGCAAAGTGTCTACTACCCTTCCGGAGGACTATGCGGAGTATTAGCTTAAATGTCTTTCTGATGAGCTTCACCCATCTGTGGAATCAACTCGTTGCAATTAAAGACCAGCGAGAGGTTACTAACATTTATATTTCATTAGAAAACTTTCTTCTTTGCTAAATGCGGTCAAACGTTTTGACATTCAACCGTCTAAGAGTTCGCTCATGGAATCCGGCCCGAAAAACATATAACAAAACTGCTCTCCAATGCTCTGTTACCTGTTACGTAATCCAATAACCATTGAATTATCATTGTACATTGAAATGAAATGTTAGTGAAACTCGCCGTTCCACAAAACGGCACGTATCCCTCCCCACTGAAAATATACTTGTTTATTTAGTTGTTTAAGAATTGTTGCATATGCCAGCTCGTAGACTTAAGGCTCACATGTCTTGTAATCTGAGAACGTGGGTTAGACCCTCGCAGTATCCTTAGTCCATGTGCGCCTGGTGGTGGTTGCGTGTTAGCGAAGCGCTCGTATTGCCTACTGGCTTACTGTTGATGCCATATATCCAACCGAGTAGCGATGAAGATTATCACTGCCGGATATTTGGAAGAGATGCACATTACGGAGAATGCTCCTGGTTTCTTGATTGACAAGCTGGAGTCCAGTACAAATCTCCAGACTGGAGTTCACGTGACCCGCCTTGTACTCGGCTCTAGACTTTACAGGACATGGCTCGCAACTGACACCAGTGGCGCGTCTACTGCCGTCACCTAATCGGACTGCCTGTGTGTGTTTGTTGCTGAGTTATCTGCGGGGTAATGGCTGATTATGACGCGGGACAGTGAAAGCCGCATGAAGCTGTCTCGCCGATGCCGCCTTGTCTTTGCACGATAGCCAGCTGTTTGTGACGGTATGTTGTCCACGTAAGGTGTAGGCGCCTTGACCCTGAATGTTTGCTTAGGACATTTAGGTTTTACCATATATCCCTTTCCCCTCATTGTTCTTCATTCCATAGGTCATTGTGATTGTACAGCAGCAAAGCATCTCTTCAACTGGCTAATGTATCGATCACATTCCTCCTTCGTTTTCGGTGACTTTAAACTTCTTCTTTCATCTGCTGTCTTTTAACCGTGTCCAGGTTCTCAGAGATGCCAACCAATAATTACGTCGAGTGCAGCTTTTGGAATTTCGACAGCCTCTTCCAACCACAACAACATCCTGCTCGAGATGCTCATGATACCTTCTTCGTGTCCGGTATGTGCGTGTCGCCTATACCTTTTGGTGTCTATTCTTGGGCTACCAATAGCAAACCTAATTTTCTTGTCACACTGTGTCTGTCCGAAATCACACTTGCATCATATAACCTTGTGGCTTGAGAAAATGTCCTCTGTATGTATGCTTATAGTTGCATCGGAAATTATAAATTGCTCAGCATTATACTTTGCCATGTTAGCCACAACCGTTCATCTCATTGTCATCATCAATATACGATAGCTGACGGTGAGTAGCACGTCTCAGCTAATGTGCCGCAATACAAAAAAGATAAGGTACCAAAAATAACACCACAAAAATTCAGCAACTTAAGTAATATAGTGCTAAATATCATATTAATAATTTGCTATGAGACCTTGATTGGTGGGGGAACCTAAAAGAAAGTGGGATGGACAAAGAAACACAACACAAGCGCCATTGGGGTCGTCTCTTCGCTATATCAACAAGTGTGTCCAACCAGACATGTTCATCGTCCTTCGGACCCCAGCTAGGCAGTCGGGATGCACCAACCGACGCCAACTTCGAAGTGAGGGTTTTCATTTCTCTCGACCAAGTCATTGTTTGGCCTCCCCGTCTCCTATTCCAACCGCACCCCCGGCGCGCAAACAACGCACGTCGCGAGAGTCGGTGTGCTTGTATGCGCAACCCGTGGCCTAGCCATCGGAGCATGATGCGTGCTATGCTGGTGGTGAGCGGTTCACTGCATCATACTGCACCAAATACGCAACGCCGAACACATTCCTTGCTCACGCGGTGCTCCTACCAGACGTGCGCTAAGTTGTGAAGCCCGTAGCCTAGAGAGAACGAGCTTGTCTCGTAATCTTGCGGTGTGGATTTGAATCTGCCTAGGGGTGGACTTCCTCGCGGTGTATTCAGCCCGCGTGCGACTGGTGGTGGTCGCACGGCAGCGAAACGCCGTTACAGCGTACAACTGGCGCATTATTTATTTATTTTATTTTTTTAAGCTGCAAACACAGCGATGCTCTTATGTCTGTCGACCTCACCTTCCCTCCAACTGCCAATCTGGAGGGCCAGGAGACTGCGTTTGTCTGGCCTCTAACCTTTGACCAATCTGGTCGGATTTTCTCTGAAGGTGCAAAAAGCACCATACAGCATAGCTCAGTGGATCATTGAGGCACGCAAATCATCGCACCACGTTTAGGTCCAGTCTTGTCGCTGCGTCCACCGTTCATCTAGTCTACGTAACAAACCGGACGCTTTTCCGATGCGTCTAAGTCGTATTGTCTAAGCTCGCTCGCTATTTTTTCAGGCGTTACTGTTTCCGCGGAACTCAAACGACTTAAAATACGCAAACTGTAATCGTTCACCCTGCGGCACAACTGTAAACAAATACCATCTGCATATGTTTCATGACTCCGTGCATCCATCTACGGGTACTTTTCCCCTCTCGGCCCGTTGAGAATATCAGCGCTATCTTGTTTCCCTCTTTATAATCAAAGCCATCATCATAGTTGCATCTTGCCAGCGACGGACCAACAACTGGAGACTATGCCGAATATCCAGCTCTTTACTTGTTGAACTACCACTTAATCACTACTATATGCTCTGAAACGTGCTGCGCCCTTTCTTGTTGCTAGGTGCTTTTAAACGAATAGGCCGACACACCAGATAACCAGTGATATTGGGCAGTTATTTGGCATCTTTCACTCGAAACACCGAATGGGTTACCGTATGCATCGGTGACGGCGGCATCGCAGAGTGTGCTGAACTTCGGTAATACTACTGCATTTCCCAAACGTCAAGAGCCAACTTCCTTTTACCACGAGTACATGCGACACATCAGTCATATATGGCGGGGGTACCGTTTGAGCGTTGAAATTCTCTCCCACCGGTTGTTAACAATGTGGTCTCTAGCGCTTCGCTGGATTCTTCCTTTAGATTGAATTCGGAAAGTTGTTGACTGCCTACAATGAGCCACCTTACATTTTGTCTGCATCTGCTTTCCCATTGGTGCATTTGTGCAGATCACCAGATTGGACTACTTAACTAACCACTGACGTTAGGACAGTAGTAAACGTTCCAGAGGCCGAAGGGATTAAACGCTTGGCTTGTAATCCGGAGTTCTGCGTATGTAAAATTGTCATCCTGTGTCAAGAGAAGCGCATCTCATTTCATCAAGAAATACACATTGTTATTAGCTCAGAGTTACTTTGGCATTCGTGATGTGGGGTAATGTCTGTTTATGACACGGAGCGGTGAAAGCCACAAGGAAGATGTATCACTGATGCTGGATTATCTGTGTATGATATACAGCTAACTGTGACGGTATATTGTTTATAAGGTGTGGCCGCCTGTACTCCGTAGGTTTGCTCAGGGCGTTAATGTTTTACAATAGGCGCTCTTTTCCCCCCTCATATTGTTCCTCATTCCGTAGGTCATTGTCATTTTATCGCAACGAAACATCAGCTCAAACACATCAACGGTACGCCGTATCGACGCTTTGCCACGTAACCACCATCGGTCGCGCGTGCACTGAGAATACTGCGGAGGTCGCTCGGTCCTTTTATGCAGGCTCAAACCCGCGACCTCCGGGTTGCGGGTCCGCTGATGCACTGTTGCTGTGGTTGTTTATGATAACGATGTACTGCGCCTTGCTCACGTAGCTTTTGTCACCATGCAGGAATCCGCACAGTTAACGGATGGCCACGGTGGAACCAGAGTCATCACGAATGCTTGCAGAGTAGGGAAAAGTTGGATTTGAACTAACTTTTCCATGGAGATACGTCACATTCACACTCGGGCAGTCATTGCACGTCTGGAAAATCATTTCATAGACGTTTCATCCTTTCATACATGGTCAGCAGGATGTATTCTCTCTGTCTCATATTGGACTAGAACCTGTAACCCATTGCATACGCGCCCGTGGTCAAGATCACTAAGCTACGCAGTCTAAGCGCCAGGCACCATGACTTAGTAACTAGCTATTTCATGGCGCATACAGTCAGTCACTTCCGAAATGCTTTTTCTCGACTTAACAGCAAGGTCGGAGATTCTAGCTCCACATGAGGTAGTTGGGATGCACCTGCTTAATGATTCTTGGAAGGATGAAACAGCCGTCCGGTGCCATTCCAGCACTACAGTGGCTGTTAGACTGAGTTGTGGCTGTGATGAAACTCCCTCGAAAGTTTAATCCAAATCCCTCTCTTCATCGCTCTAAAACTCTTTCATCTTTTGTTTTTTTATTCTCACTATTGGGGTGCTGCGAACATCTTTGTCTACCGAGATCAGGCAAACAATATCTTGGCCGCCCATCATATAGCTGAAGCGTTTAGTACGTCTGCATCGTTGTTAAACAAATGCCAACGATCTTCTTGAGATAATGCATGAATACCAAACCTCATGTAGAAGCGAAAACTCCAATCTGGTCTACGTAACTTCTTGACTTGAAACTTAGTTGTACCGGGTTTTGCGTCGAATTTTCTATGTCGACTCGTCACAGTCACAGTCATGTAGTCACTCCACATTTTGAAAAGCACTGTACGGCCGTTTCATCCTTTCGCGTATCGTCAGCACTACGCATTTCATCTGTCCTCTGTGGGGCTTGAATCCGCAACCTGACTCCTACGTGTCTGAGGTTAAGACCCCCTGGGCCAGAAAGAAATGAGCGGCAACCACTATGGTTAAGTAACTCTGACTGTGATATAGAGCGTAGACTCATTCTCCATTGTCATACGCGTTTCAAACGTACAGAAGACAGTGTTGGTCCACTGACCCGCGAACTACCATCGTCTGATAACATTGTAAGCTAGCTTGGGCAATCACTGAGTCAGCTGTGCCCACACAGGGTAACAGGAGGTACAGACAAATCCCGCTCGTCTCTATCACCACACGTATGCTACATGTGATCGCTTCGGAGTGGACTCCTCGCACACGGTAGGTCGGATGGAAAAGCTTTGAGATAATTACCAAGTGTTTAGTTTCGGCTTAATATCCATGACCTTGCCGCGCTGAGTGGTGGTGCCCTCCGACGCGTTCGGTTAAACTACTTGTGGTGCGACTCATAAGAACAAGTAAATTGATACATACGAACGAAGTTGGCGCCCACAGACAACTTGTCCTTCAGCTGTTGAAGTAGCACGGATGTGAACTTGAATGAAATCCGTAGCTGTGCTCCGAAATACGCTTTACTGATTGCACTTCTGCGTCTAATATGTGTGACTGTGGCATCACCTTGGGTTAGATGTTTCTCTAACGTATGCACTTTAAACTTGTGGACAACGCGCTCGTCATTTGACCTCTCACTCTCATTCTTAATACTTGTTCTACCGTGTTTCATGTTAACTATATACTCATTTTATATCTAGCCTGTAGATGAATCACCGAAACAGCTTGTTTGCTCCACTGTGTTTTCAAGAGCGACACCGAAAATTTTATTATCGTCATTACCACTTTTTCCGTTCTTCCACTACCTCCAGTCCCGCTACTTTCGATGTTTGACGCTGGTTGCGGCATTTGTTGTCTCCGGTGCTTGCCGCCAAAACAGTCAGACACAGCTTCTTTTGCTTGTGAACACAAACATGCTAGCGGGAGACAAGATATTTGTCGTTAGCCGTTGTCTACATACTTGATGATGTCCATGCTTCTTTTCACCCTCATACCTCCGCACTCATCCTTATCATCATCACCATCATCATCACCATCATCAATCATCATCATCAGTCATCATCATCATCAATCATCAATCATCATCATCATCCGCATCATTATGCACTTTAGAGCTAGAAATGGGAAATTTCGGAACTCTAGCAGCTGACTTTTGTGCCTCCAAAAAGTTATATTCAGCGTCAGAAATGAGATTGTGGTTGGAGGGAAAGGACCAAGAAACCAACACAACGACACTTTGGTCGGCTCTTAGCCATTACCAACAAGTGTATCTAACCAAATGTGTTCATTGTTTTCAAGTTCAAATCAGGGAGCCTGGAGGAGGCTTTCATTCCTCTTGACCATGTCGTCCGTTGGCCTCCTGTCGTCAGTACCACCGCACGGATTTCAACTCCTCATAATGTGTCGGCCCGTAGTCCAATGGTGAGGAGCTTGTCTTGCGCCGCGAGTTCGCATTCGCGTAGGAGTGGACCTCCTCGCAATATAGCCCGCGTGCAACTGGTGGTGATCGCATGGCAGCGAAACGCCGTTACGGCTGCAGCTGACACATTTTCCCCCAATAATGGATAAATTCACCCCCTTACTGGCCCTTAAGCTAACACCACGTTGTTTCATAATCGCTCATTTGTTCGTCTGTTTCTACCTTCTTCCATGGAAGTTTCACTTATTCACTTGTACTCTTTAACTCTGCGACTGTAAAACCGAGCTTGGCCCACCGCTACTTACATTTTATCGTTGTTGCCTCTTTACTTCCATCAGATCCCGCCACTGCGGATGTGAATCAGATGGCTCCTGCGCCGTACATCGACCGTGTCCGTACCGTGCACAGCCAAGGAGCGTACGGCAGTCGTGGATATCAGTCCGAGTGGCTCCTCTCAGAGGCGGCCAAAAATGTTCTACGTACTCACACCACAGGGGCCAGTGCCAGAATGCTGTACGCACTCGCAAACCAGGTGCGTCTCCATTCGGTTTCTCTTTGGTACATCCCTGCATATAGCTGCTCTCGGTGTAGTTAACATTAAACGTCTGTTCTCAACGTGTTTCTCCATCTTGTTGAACTCTATGCTTATGCAAAGAATGTGCAATGATATCATTTCTCTTAATTTCAACTGATCACATGTACTCATCCTTAGTCGCTGATCTGTTTATCTCATTCTCCTTGGCGTCGTATCGTTTTTCTTTTTCTTCTTTTTTGCCTCAGAACCTGTTGGTTCCTTCCCCGTTGGTCGCCTAACACTCGGGGAACTTTTTCTTTTTCCGCCCTAATGATCTCTCATTCTGACGCCTGTGTCGTTCAGTTTGCCTTATTGCTATACCAATGCGATCACCGAATGCCATTTCTCTTAGCTGTTGGTCCTCGTATTTCGATGCCGACCAACCAATGTAACTCCGAGTACCTGCTCTTTTTGTTCAAGCTGCACCGAGAAACTGAAGGCTGTTTTCTGCATTCACGTCGTTCTGCACATGGCTTCATTCCCTAGGATACCTACTTCCTGATTTCCTTAGTTGTAACCAAGCAACACACAAGATGTACTTTGTCAGATGACGTCTTTTCGTGCATTCTGCTCAATCACAAACATACAACATTGATAGATGAACCAAACAGTGTCAAAAGGGATCGTACATATCCGAGCGCTCTCGCTATCAGGGTAGACTTAGAGCCACAGTCAGCTGTCTTTGAATACGATCAAAAACGATGGTATCTAGCAGGCTAAGCATGTGGGGGCGCATTAGGACTGTGAACGACTCATCAAGATTGACTCGGTGGCCGGTGGTCAGCAAGTGCCTTGTGACTGCCGATTCCGCAGTCACCGATCCCATGCGGCTGCATAACCCCTTGTGGATGTCTTCATTTATTCGGATACCTATACTTCCGGCATTGCATGCTGCTTCTGAATGCATAGATTTGGTTTTGTCAATCTGATGCATACTGCTTCAGCGGTAGCGAGTAGCCGAGCTCCTGACCGATGGTGTAGCTGTGATGGAACTCGATAGAGGATCTCAAAAGACTTGCGCTTATCAATCAGATGATTGGTGCAGATCAGATGGTTGGTTATGGCACTCAACTTAGTTTTGTCCCGTTGGGTGACGAGCGACGTTGGTAAATGTTCCTTGATTCGCTTTTCCAAGTGCCTGGTCGTGCGCCCAATGTACCTAGCCCCACAGGAGCAGGTGAACCGGTAGACTACCATTGATTGGCGTTGATCAGGCATCTTGTCTTTGAACCTAGGAACAAAGAGCGAACTGCTTGTAAAAACGACACTTAGTTGAGCTGCATTAAAGGTCTTTCGGCAAGTCTGTATCAGTCGTCGTGTGCATATCTCAGCCGGTATGTCACCTTTAAAGGGAAGTTGGAGAAATAGCTGTTTCTTCTTCACCTCCAACGTAGCTGTCTCAACAGCCAGAAGTGAATTTGTCTAAACAGTGGGACATGGGTTGCCTCGTCGTCGGTGTCTTAATCGAACACATAAGCATAGGTCTCGTCGAGGTGAGCAGTCGTAACTCTGCCGCATTACACGTACGTTTTAATGAGGCACCTATTCGACTCTCAGTGACCTTCATAGTTTCTTGTTTCAAAGCTCTGCTTAATTGCACTTTAACACTGTACTTCACTCTCACTGTGATCCGGCAGTCAAGCGTTATTGGAATGGTCTCAATAAGATTTCACCTCTTTGCTAATGCTCCCGGTGGCGTCTTGTGCGCTGCCATCTGTCAATCGGTTGTTTTCTGTCCGTAGGCTATGCTGGTTTGTATGTGCTTTCGGGGTCTCATATACACCTTGCATTTAATAGGCCGTTCAGAGTAGACACAGGCGAGGAACTACTGTTACGCGTTGCACGCCGAAACCATTCTCCGGACTGAGTAGCTTGATTCCGTTTCCCCTACTCACCTCCTATCTTGCGTTGCGAGGGCTGTGGACCGACGCTTCGATTTCCACACCTATGCTTCTCCAACATTCTCCTTCTCTTGTGTGTTCAGCTTCCGTATTACTTTCTCCGGGTAAACTGGGTTAAACTATTCCAATAGTTTAGTACTCGGCTCTCGAAGCATAGAAGGTAATCTTCACACTTCAGCTCCGGTACTGCGAGCTTGTACCGGTGACCGCAAGTGGCGCTTGGTGCGCGCACGTGCAGCAGTAGTCTATACACAGGGAAGCCACCCAGATGTATTATCCAGGGTGTCATTATGAGATCAAATCGGAACCCATGATATGGCAGGGTTCACAGCCTCGGCCTGCTGCATCGGTTCTCGTACGACGTGCCCCGTAAACTGAGGATGAGCTTAGTAGCCACACGCTGAAAACGTTCCAGGTTTTGCACCCACCCACCCCGCCACGGATGATCGAACAATAAGCGAATGAGCCGTAGTCTAGTATTCGTCTTGTGCTGGAAGAGGCGGGTGGCAATCATTTTATACCAGTTGCAGAAACTGCGTTTGGTCACCCAAAACATGTGTAGTCCATTACCGTATAGCCTGTCCGTGTTGTCCACAGACTTCAAATCTCAGCGTGCGAGTACGCCTAGCTCATTATTAACCGAAGGTATGTGGTGTTGCGATTGACCGGCCAGAGTGTACGTACGCCCATCAACACCGTTCCCCATGCTCATAACTAACCACTTGACTGGGTTCACCGGGAGATAGATCTCTGCAGTCCACTTGGAGAGGCGATAAAGTCCTGCTAGGATATGCCGCAGTCTTCGGGAGCTTTTGCAAACAAGCCACACGGTGACCGAAGAAACCGAAGCACTTCGTTAATGAGCCCCATTGCTGTGTCTTGGAACGACACACATCGGTTTGATGGCCATCCACGTCTACCCTCCACTTTTTCTCCAATAACGAAGTCGCCAATCTACTGATGCAGTGAGCCACCAACAGCACACATCCTTAGGCAGTGTTCTAGGACCTTGTCGAATGCTCTACTAACATCAGTGTATATCTCGTCTCGACTCAATGCTTGCAATCATTCGTGCAGTGTCAGAAGCAGATTGTTGCTAAATGAGGGGTTTTTCATAAAGCCGTGCTGTACTGGGGGTAAGAACGTCTTTAAAATCCAGCAGCTGCGGCAGATTCTTCTTCAAGACTTTACCGAGTACTTTGGCCAGACCGGAGGTCAGACTGGATCGGCCGGTACTTGCCCATCTTCTTTGCGTCACAACCTTTCGAAATCGTCTTCACCACCGGTGCAGTATTACAGGTAAAAATCAGTGTCGGAATTCAAGTAATTCATAGACGTGTATTTTGCGGATTAGAGAATTTGAATGCGCGTGTCACCTAAATAGGACGTTGTGCCTCGATACTGATTAACGTTATTGTTGCCTACCTGGGTCTCCCAGCCACGTCAAGAAAAACAAGACACACCGGCTCAGCGCACTAACGTTCTATTCACAGGTCTGCGGTTTTGTACGATCGCCTGATTGACCGCAGTGAGGCAAGCGATTCCCTTTGCCCCCTGTCTCAGTCGCCATCACAGTTATCAGCCACGGAATGACGAAGATCGCTTGTGCATTTGACAGGGAATTCTTGCTGGTCTATCATATTAGTGGATACTATGGGGAAAACAACGATTTTTTGTAAACAGATGATGATACCCTACTCCCTGTTTATTTTATTCCGTCTAGTCTTCACTATTTTACATTCGCGTGGCGCCGTTTTCCGTTACATATATCCACTCTGTGCGCTCAACGGGTTCCCGCAACTTGTTCCTTCCTGTTATCTTCGTTACGGGATTTAGCAACCGTTAATTTGTAGAAGCGGATCTCAGTTACTGATTCAACGGGATACAGTGTTCACCAATTGTGATATATCCGATAGGCCCTTGTGGATACGACTCCAATACGCCACCCTCATGGCAGAGAGGTCCATATAGTCGAAAGATGGTAACGCACGAACTCCATCGTCCCGCCCCTTTTAAGATTTACTCGTTTCTTGTCCTGTTACTCATATGGTTGAACGCTCTTTTCCACTACGGGTACATCTACAGGAGCCCTATGATGACGCCGAGAACGACCAGTATGACAGCAACTGTGACTCAAGGGTGGTTTGAAGCGAAAATTACAAGTCGAGCGTAGCCTGTATTCCTTTGGTGAACGCGACGATCGATCTCCCATTTAATTAAAGTAACCAAGTAACATATAGCTTCTAAGTTCTATGTCGTACATAGGCGCTATTCGGAAAGTCCTAGCTCGTGAGGCTAGCCATTGTCCTCTGCACAGTTCGTAACTGGCATGGCAGTGGAAGATGAGCCGGGCTATATCATGGTCAACTGTCAATCACGCAGGTCTGAGACTGTCACTCATGGCGAAGTGGCACTAGCTGCTGGCATCCTGAAGTCATGGGGGCGGAACCCGGCAAGGGTCCGCTGGGAGGCGCACCAATGACAAGGCCCAGAAGGTCGAAACGCCGGCGTCTGGTGCTTTTCCAGACTAGCCTAAGCCTGCTAATTGGTAGTGACGATGATGAATCAGTTGAATTGTACAGAATAGAGCCGTTTACTGGATCGGTTTTATTCCTATTATCAACTTTGATCTGTGCACTACGATGCGACGCGATTCGGTTATCCCGACTCGTTTAGCCAAACTAGCAATAATAATGGTGACAGTACAACTTTAAATGCTATAGAAGCACATGCAAGTAGCTCAAATGTTTCATTTATTAGTCTTCTGCTCAGTAGATTTGACAATTTTGCTGCAAACGTTTCTTCACCGGTTGTGGTGACATCACCACCGCGTTTTCCTGTGTCACCTCGGCTGGGGACGAAACGTGTGCAGCAACATTGCCGAGCTCAATGCACATTTCATCTAACAAATTTCAATTAGATTGCACGGGTGTTGAAATCATCGAACAGGATAGCTAGGACCAAATGCAAGATCACCGGTTACTCCGTGCTTGTATCATATCCCATAGTGTGGCTTACCACTGATTTCACCTCTCCCGGCCAGGTGCCAGTTCTACT